GAGGACTACGCGATACGGTCAGGAAAAGGGGAGAAGATCGAAGAAGGGGAATATACCAAGTGGAAATGCAGCCGACCCCTGAACGAGCTAGACGATGAGCACCGCAGACCTTAGCCTAGCAGGGCCGTGCCGGTGATGACGTTACGCGCCCAGTGATAGCAGAAGCGTGTCGGCTTGCTGGTGCTACAATCGTCATCGTATTTTTTTCCATTGCGTTAGAATATTCATGAGGTGGTAGGGTTTTGGTATCACGACACTAGTTATTGCGATTGAAATAAGATTCCACGATAAGCTCAGAGGGCAACGAAAAGGAAATGTGCCTGTGAGCGGCAAGCGGGCCCCCTAAGAATGCGGAACGATGCGCGTTTCGCAGCAAAAAGTACGCCCTTAGCTGCTTAGAAGGGTTATACCCTCTCAGCTCACGCCGCTACACCCCCACCGGTGGGTATCCCCTCGTCGTCCAACTCGAACCGTTCAGCAGAGAGAGTGTTGGCGTTGTTGGGGGCAGCACCCAATCGCATCAATGCAGAAATCAACGGGTAAAGAAAAGGTTCCTTATATCGGATTCCTGGCGCTTTTGATGGTTTTTTCTTTTTCCGTGCACCGACCACCTCTCTTTAACCTTTAATAGGCCACCTTTTTATCATAAGCTTCACCTTTAGCAAGTGCAAAAGAATACGCTTTAGTGGCTGGCTCGTCCAAAGCGGGGCTCAACACTCGAAGAAGGGATCTCAGTTCGGATTCCAGCCTGTTTTGCTTGGTTTTCTTCACCACGGCACCTTTGACGACCTCTGCTATCGTTTCCAACCAGCGGCCATTTTGTCGTAAATCCCGCCTTTAGGCCATCTCCTAGAAAAAATCCTGACTCTGCTGTTGGCGCAAACAGAACGTAAGTCAACAGAATGCTTCACTATTAATTTTATTGCATATTGACTTTTCATGCCTTATACATTAGCTAAGATTATCGGCATGGTAAAGGATACCGCGAAAGTTCTTCGCAATTTTTCTGTTGTATGTGTGATTTGTGGTTTTAAAGGACGAATTCGCGGTGAAAAAGCAACCCATTTCAAATTAACCTAGGGATGGTGAGTGGTACACGAAAGAAGGAAGAACCATGAGAAACGGCCCAGAACCCGAGTAATGGTACCCCTTCCTTGCCCGTTGATTCGAGCATTGATGCGACTCTCATCGCCGTGCCCTCTTCAACACTACGCTCTCTCAGCTATCCAATCACTCGCCACGTATTGAACTACGGATCGGTGACTCAGATGATCGGTGGGCGGAGCTCGCCGGACCC